ATCATTACCTGTGATAAATATTTGATGGAATGTAGGAATTTTACAGGTGCGGGAACCGGAATTGAAGTTAGACTATCCACCCATATGTCGCCACTGCACGAAAAAACCTACTGGTCAGACGAAAGAAGGAAGATCTTGATGGCGTCAGTCAGAAGTGCCCTTTGCCAGGATTTGCAATTACCCTGTTTTGACTTGTACCATATCTTCCCGTGTGTTTTTAGGTGTTTGTGGCACCGGTGGGGCCGACACGCTCACCGCTTCGTGAACTCGGGGTACCATCAGTATTTAATAGAGATTCATACTCATGATTTAGACGAAATTGTACAAACGGTGACATCTTCAGGATTTTGTTGCTTTTATTCAAAAGAACACGTGCGCTTTGCAGTCTGCTGTGCATTTATGAAGAATCATTAATGTGTGATCCCTATGTGTGTTCATGTTGAGTAGCGCCACGGTGGCTTTATGTAACGAGCCTATAATCCTGGTCGTGTTGCCGCCGAGTTTGTGTTCACAAGGGTGTACGAGTTTATAAAGCTTTAAGACCACCTCCGAGGTCCAGCGGTAGAGCGTCCGCCCGGAGCGTGGAAGGTCCGGGTTTAGATCCCCGGCCGGCCGCGTCATACCAAAGACGTTAAAAGATGGTATTTGTTGTTACGGTATTAGGTGCTCGGAATTAAAGGGCTAAAACAAGGACTGGTCGGCTCGGAGTCAGTATAGAGTGGGGTGTATAATGTTATACTCATCTGATGTTGATTCTTGTTGTTAAGGAAAATATATATATATATATATATATATATATATATATATATATATATATATATATATATATATATATATATATATATGTGTGTGTGTGTGTGTGTGTGTGTGGAAAGATTTTTCATGTTGACTGACTTTTTCAAAGAAAGGAAGGTTTTAGAATTGTTTAGAATATGCAGATCCGATGAAGAAATTATAGTAATGGAATAAAAGGAATGGACACATTTTACCCCTCATCAATGACGTCATGGTTAGCGGCTGACCGTGTTATTGGGTAGGGTTCAGCGTCGGGATGGACTTGTTTCGGGATCGCTAGAATTTTGAAATTGACCATAACACGTCCCAGAAATACTGAGAAAACCATTTGCCCTCAGTTTCAAAACCTGACATACCAGTTGTACTGAAAATAGTGTGTTTTTGGTCCTTCTTTCAGAAAAAAAACATGCATTGACCCACTGGCCGAAAATATGTCCTCTGTAAGAAAAACGTACATTCTTCTTATTATTTAAATCACATAATCTAGAGATGAAAACGAAAGTGTTTGACATGAAAACTACCATAATGGGACCAAACGGGTCCTAGTCTGTTTGTTTGTTTGTTGTTTAACGCCGCACTCAGCAATATTCCAGCTATATGACGGCGGTGTGTAAATAATCGACTCTCGACCAGACAATCCTGTGATTGATATCATGAGCATCGATCGATCCGGGGTAGAATAGGTCTTCAGCAACCCATGCTTGCCGTAAAAGGCGATTATGCTTGTCGTAAAAGCGACTTACGGGATCGGGTGGTCAGGCTCGCTGACTTCTGTGATGACGTCACTTCCGGTTTCGGTGTCATCAGGTCACGTGACCTGCGCAGGGCATTGTGGGTCATGCGTGCGCATCCAAAATGGCGACACTTCCGGTTCCGGTGGCGCGCGCCTCCAAGATGGCGGCACGTTCGGTTCCGGGAGGCGTGTGCACCTCCAAAATTGCGGCACGTCCGGTTCCGAGGGGTCATCTCCCCATCCGGCACGGCGCCTCCAATATAGGAGAGAAGTTGGGAAGGTGGAAAGGCGAGAAGGCGGGGAGGTAGGAGGAGGATTGATGGAGGGTGGAGGATGAGGAGGAGGAAGAGGTTTTTTGGTGTTTTTTTGTTTTGGTCGGTGGGTGGTGAGAGGGTAGTCAAAGCAAAGGATGAAAAGCATCCTTTCTGGAGAGATGGGTGGCCCTGAAAAGGACCGTTTGATAGTGAGAGACTAACTCCTCACCCACATAGGTGCTGTGCTGCAAAGGCACGGATGGCCTCCCTAGTGTCTCCTGACAGGACACTTACTGAGACGAGCTTATACACAGTCGATGACCCAGCAACGTTTCTTGATGAAATTTGAACACATTATATAATCATTAACCTCGTCAGCTAAATTATATTTGGAGACAAGATGTAGCATGCTAAAGGTAAGTGATTTCGTGTCCCATTTGTTCTTATTAACTAGTGTTGTTTTATATATAAACTGTCCAAGTCTGACTAGAAACATTTGTTTGAAAATATACATTAGGTTTTAATTACATAGCTTACCAAGGAGCAAAAGCTTTTGTTGATCAATGTATCCTTGTACTGATATAACACCAATTGTGTGTGTCTCTCTCTATTTCTTTGGGCATACGCTTATCAAAACCCTGGATTTCTTACAGAAATAGCGTTGAGTGATTTCCGGCATTTCATATTCCTTTAAGGATAGTTTTCCCCACACATTACATCCATATAAGCCACAGGGTAATATCACTCGTTGCCAGATGCGCACGGCGGCTATAGGATTAAGTCCACCACTACAGGCCAGAATCATGGTTTACATTTATCAGACGCCATCAGAGGTCACGTGACAAAACCGAAACCGGAAGTGACGTCAACACAGAAACCGACCAATCAAAAGCTAGGAGCGGTCCCAGAGTCCTGCACACAACTACTCATGTCATCGGTCTCAATTGCGTGGATCGATGCTGATGATATTAATCACTGGATTGTCTGGTCCAGACTCGATTATTTACAGACCGCCGTCATATAGCTGGAATATTGCTGAGTGCGGCGTTAAACAACAAACCAACCAACCAACCAACATATTCCGGGTCGTACCATGGATGGACCTCTGTGTAAAAACCACAAGCATGGCGAAGACGGTAATAAAATGATCGAGCCACTCCATCATGTCGCTTAAGATACTGTGTTTGTGCCAAAGCTGGGCATCCACTGACAATGTGTTGGACAGTCTCATTAAAATTAAGTACTTAATCTACATTCATATTTACATGTTGATGCGAAATCACACATTGACGCTTTCGAATGTGAAGTGACTGGTCCTGAGCAGCAAACAGCAAGCCTTCTGTTTCACTTTTCAGGCCAGCCGACCTCATCCAAGCAAAGGACTCTACAGGGTTGCTTACCTTCTCAACACATTCGATGCTGTGGTCGTTCAGATATTTTTATTATTATTGTTATTATTATTATTATTATTATTATTCACACTGAGTGTTATTATTCACACTGAGTTGCCATATTGAGAGCCTGCGGGTACAACATATTTTTGGTTACGCAAATATATATTTCACTGTACCTTGTCACCTGTGTCATTGTGACTCTGGAACTTGTGAATACGTAATGACGCCAACCTTGTATAGCTCGAGAATAACCCACGTGCCAAGATCAATTACGGAGTATCTGTTCCGAATGATTTACCTAGTCTGAGCCTCAGACGGACAGATAATACACAACTCCAAGTTACAAGTATGTGTTTCTGTATGATATAACTACTCCTCTGTGAAAATGTGGGTGGCCGAATACAAGCAGAGACAGTCAATAGAGATCTAGTGCTGAACTTGTGACGTCAAGAACAGTGGATGACGTTATCTATGATTGTTTGTGACAAGCATTGAAGTGCCGACACAATGCAATGAAACAGTTGAACTACCCAAAGAGCATGGTTAATATAAAATAATCTAAAAATCCTGTACATTCGTTGCTGCATATGCATTTTAACGGAAGACCCAGATTTGTGCTCAATGGCATCAAACACATATACAGTAAACTACGTTTATAACGAACACGCTTATAACGAACTGACGGATTTAACGATCTAAAATCAGTGGTCACTTTGAGTTTGTTTTACATGTAACTGTAGTTTACTGTAGTGTCATACCTGATAACACGAATTCAAATACACAAGAAACGGTTAATATTTCATCAAATATTTATTTTCAACAACGAACGATGACCGCGTCAAAGTATAAATTGAGTTTTCTTTTTTATTTCGTGATTCAATTTGGTGTGAAATGACATTTTAAACTGCAAAGCACCATATGAAACTACTCGAGAGAAGAACTTTCCTTATCATTTAAAATAGTAGCGAATGCAGAAACATGGACTGTTCCTTATAATTTAATCTGATACTGACACATGTTGAAGCTTTAGTACATCTACGTCAGTTTGAGACAACAACAAAATGTCAACTGCATCCTTTGAGTTTTCGTTGTAGTATAGACAGATCATAGCAGCACGTGTGATGCAAGGCGTACAGACAGAAATGCTAGTGTTACACTTGGAGCAACAAAATAGTAAAGAACAATTATTTTCTGCGTTGTATTTTCGGTCTTTAGAATTTCACTAAGAAATTACCGACAACGTAATGTGGGTTATAATTCTGAAATTGCTCTTTGAAATAATGACCATTGATGATTTTGAATTCAAATTCTGTTCCAAAGCGCAGTGAGCGTAACCCACTAAAGCAAATATTGGACGTTAATAGGAAGGTGATCTGGAGGTTATAACAAGGGAAAAGCATTAAGCTGCGCTTATAAGGTGGCTGCTAAATCAGCTCTTGTTCAATCCATCCTTCCTTATGAGGGTCGTACTTCACGGCAACGTCGCCTGCAAATAAATATTGGACACGCGTTGAATAAGCGGCTAGATGGATGTTTAAGCAATTAAATAACTCTTTTGGAACAGATTTCTGTCATGTGATGGATAATACAAAAATATACATACTAGTGCTGGTTTCAGGCAAGCTGAAGGCAGTAGTGAATTCGAGATCAAATTATCAGTTTCTTTCCATTTTTAACACCTCAGGTTTTTCCAGTCGTTTATGTCTCAGTTTAAGGCAGTCAACGGTACACAGTACCAGTTCAGTGGACGTATGCAAAGGCACTTCTTGATATTCTCAGAAATGTAAGGCATTCGTCAATAGGCGTTTTTTATAGAAGAAAATGAACGTACCTTATGTTCGCCTGATGGAGACGGCCATTTGGTTGAAAGTACCAAGGTTTGTATACTTTCCGGTGCCCTCGGTTATAGCATAAGTGTTTCCCGCACTGCTTGTCAGCTCCCAACTGAAATCAAGAAGGTAGAAATTTAAAGAACACCAGTATGTGTCCACGATGAACAGTCAATGCACTGATGGTTGATCCATTGCTCGCCCTGTACCTAACATAGCCAAGAGTTATTTATATTTCTGATGGTGTATGAAACCTAAAACCACTACTAATCACAAACATATCCATCTAACTTGTGACCTGAATATATTGTGTTTGTTTGTTTTTTAACATCGCACTCAGCAATATTCCAGCTAAATGACGGCGGTCTTTAAATAATCGAGCCTTGACCAGACAATACAGTGATTGACATCATGAACATCGATCTACGCAATTTGGATACGATGACATGCATCAACCAAGTCAGCGAGCCCGACCACCCGATCTCGTTTGTCGCCTCTTACGGTAAGCATGGGTTGCTGAAGAACTATTTTACCCTGGATCTTCACGGGTCTGAATATATTGTAAATACAGTGTGGCACATTCCAGGTTGATTTGTGTGAAATGGATTTACTTACTTTCCATGGATTACAATGGCTGATTGTGCCCGGTTTTTAAAGCCTTTCAAATCCGCTATGTCTCCCTGGACTGGTACACAGTCGCCATTAAGGTCGGCATTGCTGTACAAGATAACGTTGATTTGTGGCTGAATGGTGCTCTAAAACCAGAGGATGAAAAAGTGAGAACATTTTAAAGGACAGGCATACAGAACTGTCCACGTGTATTTAACTATGTTGCCCATGTTGTAGTTAAGGACATTCTATATATTTTGAGATATGAGGCCACCCCATAAAATCCAATATGGCCGCATAGAGGAATGAAATTCTAGTATATTTCGTATGAACTTGACCCACAATCTATATATATTATTTTGGAATATATTTACCAAACACTGCATCTGTGTAGTAAATGACTTTATCATAACATACTATTTATCTTCATTATGGGAATCTAAAGTGCGATAAAAAGAAAAACAATATGCATTCTTTCTTCTTCGGCAACCTTTAAGACATACATCATTAAAGCCAATTAGGTATTCCAATGTTGTATATTCGTAAGGTCAATAACCGAATATTAATAAATGTGTTTTTTTATATCGTGATACATGTAGTATAGGCCACTGCTTAATTAGTACACCCGCTTTGCAAATGTGGTGGCGACCTTGATCACATTTAATTGTCCCTAGCCAACCAAACCATTAGCCATTTGCCGCATCTTTCAAAAATTCAAATTTTGTTCTTTAGATATTCTATTGGTGTCATTGTGTTCACCATATGAGTACACAATATTGGTATTGTTAATTAGCCTTCATGAAGTATGCCTTAAAGATATTCCGAAGAATAAAGAAATGCACATTTGTTTCACACTTTACATGATCTAAATCAAGATCAATAGTCTATTAAGTTATTTACTTGACAAATGTGGTGTTGGGTAAATGCGTTCCAAAATGTTCATATTTCATTATCTATTTAGGTTGTGGGTCATGTTCACATGAGATATACTAGAAGTTCATTCTTCCATGGCGGCCATATTTTAATCTTTTGGGTTGCCCTATATCTTGAAATATTTGGAATGTCATAACCTACAACTGTGCCACGTTTCATGCTTTTGTCACAAAGTGCACACCTGAGCCTATATCTGTCACGAAACGGCTGCTCTATTCTGTTTAGTTCCTATTGTACACATTGTCTTTGAATCAATCCCTGGTTCCGCCGCATGCTGATTAAATTAGTATAAAGAACTTAACGTTGAAGTAATGAATCCTAATCAGGACTGATGCAATACAGCAATAAATATTCTCTTAGTCATTAGTCTGACTAAATGCAGAGATTCTGTCATACCATTCTCACTGCAGGTGTTTGGAGCTTTCAAACCTGAAAAAGAACATTACTGAATTGTCAAGTAGGTAAATACACGAAGGTGAGGGTAGGTGAAAATGGGCTTTACCGGCGCGTTCATGATCTTTGCACTTCTTTAGCGACATATATGCAGGAATGTGCGTGTTTGCGTACGTGCGTGCGTGCGCATCAAATTCGCTTCGATTTTATATTACCTATGCACAGGTCTGCTACGGACATTATATAATCTAAGGGGTTCGGGTGGTCAGGCTCGCTGACTTGGTTGATGCATGTCATCGATCCCAATTGCGTGGATCGATGCTCATGATATTAATCACTGGATTGTCTGGTTCAGACTCGATTATTTAAAAGACCGCCGTCATATAGCTGGAATATTGCTGAGTGCGGCGTTAAACAACCAACCAACCAACCAACAAATAGATCTGAGTCCCTATAAGCGTGATGCAACCAACCTCTTTCGCAACTTTCAATCTGAGTGAAGTGGTGCGAAAGGAAGTCAGTTAAAACTATTTGACCCGATATCTAGACTTACGAACTCTGATTTCCCTTTTCCAAAACTTTTCGTAGAGCATGTAAATTCAGCAGACTGATAAAAAAAAACATGTTGATTGCCCAGCAGTGGATATGGGCAGTGTGAATGGCAGTAGGAACAGTTTGTTAATGCTTATACATAGAAATATCAACATTGCTCATCATGTTTGGGCATATGTGTATGTCAGTAGTCAGGCGCATTAAGACTTGCCACCAGTTTCGGTTGGGTCTGTTTAACGGACGAAATTGTTATTTATTTACACTTAAATACATGTTGAACGTGGGTAATAAATAGAATACCACACTCTTGTTAGATACCATCTTAACGAAACTCACGAACTTTCTGTTGTATATGACCTTGCTTTTGCTAGGTCAGATACAATAGAAACACCACTCGTTTCACAAAACTGGTATCTAACGAAACTCAGTGTAGTATTCTGTATATATCAATCCTCATCTCTTCTGAGTGTTGTAATGTTGAGCAAAATCCCGGTCCTGTGTCTCAACTTAGACATTGATATAGCAATCTGAATGGTGATTTGCTTAAAGTTAATTTGCCTGACATTATATCTTACTCTTGTGGTTTGCTATGCGGAAATGCCTTTCACTATTTTCTCGAATGTAAGACATTTTACTTAATATGACAACCTTTATCTTTATATATTATGAATATAGAGCCTCATCCCTATTTAGTATCAAAACCTGGAGAGAAAAAAAATTGCTTTTTCAAATATGTCATTCAATTGAAAGTGGACACAAACATATTAATATTTAAGAGAGAGAATTTAAGGATTTCAACTTCTATATTATGAAGAACACAACTTTTCGAAATATTTGCTTACTCCATAGATGAATTATGGAGAAGACAACGTTTCGGAATATATGCTTACTCATTCATCAAGTAATTCGCATGATGGAGGAGTAAGCATATATATATACTCCGAAAGGCTGTGTTCCTCATAATAAAGAGGTTGACATCCATAAATTCTCTTCTTTATGTGTATCACTTTTAAATGTCATTCAAAGACCAGATTTATATTTATTTACCACTACTTCTCTATTGTATCGTGTCTTCCTAGTTGCTTGTATATTTAATATAAACATGGAATGTCAACGCCTGCAGAAAAATTAGTTCGAGTATCTGCCGAAACAGATGCCATTGGGCGTAAAGGCAAAATAGCGGTGGACATTATGTGAATGGATCACTGAAAATGACTGATGACATCAGGTGTTCGCGAAAGAGTAAGCATGTCCTGCCCTACCGGTAACACTCTCTCACATCATTTACAAACAAAGGTAAGTGTTTGTTTGTTGTCTAACGTCTCATGTTGTTTGTCGTACAAAAGGTCAAAGTTACATATCTCCTTTTTCATTTTAAGTATTCATTTTGATGTTGTATTCCATGTAAATATTACAGTTCAGTAAGTATTTTCAAGCTTTATTCCCCACCTTAACACTGAGAATATCCTTCTCGTTGGCAAAGACACAACATTTTAAATATAGTTTATGCCCCGATGTGACCACAGCAGGATTAAATCATAAGTGAATAATACAGAAGCTCATATCAAGGATATGAGGGATAAAGAAATACTTACCAGGGTTTGTTGATGATCGTTATCTTGCGCTTTGCCGGAGATGGGGTAGCGTACAAGTGTCTCCAGTAGGCTTTATAGTAGCGAACATCCGGGGATCAGCGACCCACGCGTCTTAAAGATCCTGGCACCAATTCAAGGTTTATGTTTTTAACCAATCGTCAACGATCCCCTTTTTCATATTTTAATAAGCAACATCTACAAAATTGCATTATCCACCTACATGATAAATTGTGTAGCAACAAGATTGTTTATGTAACTGTTTTCACACATGCAACCCTCATGCTTGAATGTGACAATACTAGGTTTTTTAGACAACTAATTATGTTTCCTACAACACCATATGTAGCAAAGGAATATAGGAGTCGAGTGTAGGATGTGCATTCGAAAAATGAATTCAAAGCTGCTTTAATATGTGCCTTAATATCAGCTATTGCTCATGAACATTTAGACTAAGTGAATCATAAGGCAATGCATGATTTTCAGTGTTACATTCATACAGTTTTCACCGCCATTTTACCTCTTTGTGCCCCGTGGAATCTGTTTGGGTGAATGGTCAGGCTGGTTGTTCCCTGGGGTTAAAGTTTTGTATTTGTTTAAAGTCTTTGCATCATGTTTTTATGGGTAGTGCATACATGTACACATGTTCCATGCCTGCACAACTTTATATCAGAACTACGAAAACACGCCATAGTTACGTTTGAAATTAGATAGGAACGTCTCTCCCACGCTTTTTAACCCTCAATGTGTGGACGAGAAGTAAAGTGTTTTATAAAATAGTGTGCAGCCTTTTTTACGATTCTACGTAACTATAGGGTAGCCAATTGTTTCTTTGACTGGGTGCAAATTTTATTTTTAAAATTTGAGCCATTATCAAACTTATGTCTGTCTACACTGAAGAAAGTGCAGGATTAGTGAATGAAGAATGGACACCCGTGAGCTAAGATTTATCTATCTTATATCAGCAAGTGCAGCTAAATGTGCTATAGAAATGCCAAATAACCGCTTCGTTACACACGGCTGACTTTGAGGTGCAGTGAAAAGATTTTGATCTGGCGGGGAGTGCACATCCAACCAACAACAATGTGTTATGTATTCAGTGATGAGATGCTGTATTTATCTAGAAATATAATTATACCTCACTCGAGTGAAATAACACATCATTGCGAAACTACTTTCAGTCTACCTCAATTAAACCAGAGAATCAGAGAAATATTGTGATGATCAGTAAGAAAATAAAAGAAATGGTTTAAACGTATCTCATTCAACTTAACTTGAAAGGGATTGGTAAACAGGCCCAACTGGCTTTTGTAAATACCGCCCCCTGTTACATAATTACATCTGTGTAGACATCAAAAGTTTAAGGTCAAGAAACAATACAAATTACACTAGGAAGACCACTTATATTATCAAGACGCATATAAGTCTATTATATATTTATGCTCGGCGTACAGACCTCCCACTTTTTTCTATTAAATCATGGACGAACATAAGAATGTTGTGGTTGACATCTCTTGTTAAATTCCTGTTACCACAAAATACTTTTTTCAGATTAAAATCCTTTGTATAGCCGTACATAGAGCGTCTAATATTATAACAAAAAGGCAAAGTATAAAAGAACTGTAGTGAAGAATCTAGATAAAAACCGCACTGACATGTTGCAATATTTGAAATTTGTCTTTCTACTCTATGACTATTAAGATTGACTTTTCTGGTCAAATGCTATGCTGATCTTATCCCTTGACCTGTACGTCTATAACATGTTTATCTTATCCCTTGACCTGTACGTCTATAACATCTTATCTTATCCCTTGACCTGTACATCTATAACATGTTTATCTTATGCCTTGACCTGTATGTCTATAACCTGTTTATCTTATCCCTTGAATTATACGTCTATAATGTGTTTATCTTATCCCTTGACCAGTACGTCTATAAAATGTTTATCTTATCCCTTGACCTGTACGTCTTTAATATCTTATCTTATCCCTTGACCTGTACGTCTCTAACATGTTTATCTTATCCCTTGACGTGTACGTCTATAACATCTTATCTTATCCCTTGACCTGTACGTCTCTAACATGTTTATCTTATCCCTTGGCCTGTACGTCTTCAATATGTTTATCTTATCCCTTGACCTGTACATTTATAACATGTTTAACTTATCCCTTGACCTGTACGTCTATAACATCTTATCGTATCCCTTGACCTGTACGTCTATAACATCTTATCCTATCCCTTGACCTGTACGTCTATAACATGTTTAACTTATCCCTTGACCTGTATGTAAAAAACCATGATTTTCTTATCCCTTGACGTGTACGTCTATAACATCTTATCTTATCCCTTGACCTGTACGTCTATAACATGTTTATCTTATCCCTTGACCTGTACATTTATAACATGTCGATCTTATCCCTTGACCTGCTCGTCTAAAACATCTTATCTTATCCCTTGACGTGTACGTCTATAACATCTGATCTTATCCCTTGACCTGTACGTCTATAACATCTTATCTTATCACTTGACCTCTACGTCTCTAACATGTTTATCTTATCCCTTGACATGTACGTCTATAACATGTTTATCTTATCCCTTGACCTGTACATTTATAACATGTTTATCTTATCCCTTGACCTGTACGTCTATAACATGTTTATCCTATCCCTTGACCTGTACATTTATAACATGTTTATCTTATCCCTTGACCTGTACGTCTATACTATGTTTATCTTATTCCTTGACCTGTACGTCTATAACATCTTATCCTACCCCTTGACCTGTACGTCTCTAACATGTTTATCTTATCCCTTGACCTGTATGTCTATAACTTGTGTATATTATCCCTTGACCTGTACGTCTCTAACATGTTTATCTTTTCCCTTGACCTGTACGTCTTTAACATCTTATCTTTTCCCTTGACCTGTACGTCTAACATCTTATCTTATCCCTTTACCTGTACGTCTTCAACATGTTTATCTTATCCCTTGACCTGTACGTCTCTAACATGTTTATCTTATCCCTTCACCTGTACGTCTATAGCATCTTATTTGATCCCTTGACCTGTACGTCTCTAACATGTTTATCTTATCCCTTGGCCTGTACGCCTATAACATCTTATTTCATCCTTTGACCTGCACGTCTATAACATGTTTATCTCATCCCTTGACCTGTACGTCTATAACATCTTATCTTATCCCTTGACCTGAACGTCTCTAACATGTTTATCTTATCTCGTGAAATGTACGTCATATACCATGTTTATCCAAGAATGCATGATTTTGAGGTGAGGTGAAATTGGGTTTAACGTCGCGTCCAAGATTCTGGCACTTATACAGCGACGTGCATGCACGTGTGTGTGTGTGTGTGGCTTCTTCTACAAGTCCGGACTGATGCCGATTTATAGTGCTAGCCCACTGAGATACCATGCCGCAGTTTAACATTAATACCCCACTCAGACACAGTATACTGACTCCGAGCCGACCAGTCCTTGTTTTAGCCCCTTAATGCAGAGAACCAGACAGGGTAACAAGTACCATCTTTTAACGTCTTTTGGTACGACGCGTCCGGGGATCGTATCCCCGACCTTCCGCTCTCCAGGCGGCCGCTGTACCACCAGACCACGGATCCGGGCACTATGTTTTTTGAAAATTTGACCTGTGTATAAGTTAAAGAACTACAACTACACTACAACGCAAAAGTTTGTGCTCAGCGCTTAGATCATATTGTTCCGGTCATTTGATCAGCGTACGTGTGCACTCGAAATTTATTCTCAGCTCCCGAAATGCTCGTGAGGCGCTACAAGGTTAACAGTGCTCATTCACTGATGGGTGACCAGAGACATTTTACGAACAGGGGCGCTTTCCTTAAGTGACACCACACGTGTTACTTGTGCTTCGCGTGATGTTTGATCAATAAACGCCCGTTTGTACAATGCTCCTGTCATAATAGTATCCAGAAATTCTCATTTTGACATGATTATTTGATTTGTGATCAACTTGCATTGTGTCTTTTTTCTTGTTCAAATCTACATTGATATGTACTTGCATTTGCTGGTTCGGTAAATACTGGACTGTTTCCGTGGATCGATGCTCATGATATTAATCACTGGATGATTTGGTCCAGACTCGATTATTTACAGACCGCCGTCATATAGCTGGAATATTGCCGACTGCGGCGTAAAACAACAAACCAAACCATAAAAACGTGGTCAAGTAGTAGAGCGTCCGCCCGGAGGTCGGGAGGTCCTCGGTTCGATCCTTGGCCGCGTCATCCCAAAAGAAATTAAAAGATGGTAATCAGTGCCACCACCATGTTGATAACATTGTGAAGTTCCTTATTCCCACCAAGATGATAATTATATACGCATTTAAATAACAGTAGGATCATTTAGGCGTCTGCAGTCAGCATTGTTCTGACCATCCATGACGTCACACTAAAATAGCTTGCCTGTTTAAACTGTATATATCCAACGCCTTTACTACGCAATACGGGGGGAACCGCGCAAAAAGAGAGCAGTAGTCGAGTGAGCAATACCTGGATAAAGGTGGTTGAATAAATAGGTCAACGTAGCTGTATCGACAGTAACTTGTTTAATAGGCATTACTTAGACGTTGGCGGATGACAAGATAGACACAATTTTATGGATAACAACTTCTTTAATACTGTAAAAAGCGACGTTTCGGTATAGATCCTTATACCGTTGTCAAGCAAGACTGACAACGGTATAAGGATCTATACCGAAACGTCGCTTTTTACAGTATTAAAGAAGTTGTTATCCATAAAATTGTGTCTATCTTGTATCAACAGTAGTCATGAACTGGCGTTGATGAATTAAACAATGTATTATGTAACCGAGGTCGGCTATGTCAAAGCCAAAATGACTTCATAAACCTGATTCCCCAAGTAGACTCAAAATAAAATCATAAAAGGATAATCGTTCGGTATAAATGCACAATACGTCACTTTCTCCTCATTTGTCTATGCAAAATGCCAGCTGAAGTTTGGAAGGAGTATATTTCCGCCATATGCTTCAATTCTAAACATACAGCCTCCTTTTCGGGTCCATCAAATCTGTATTATATGGTGACAAGAGAAAGCAAGA